CGGACAGTATACACCATGCCCTCTCATGGCGTCGTAATTTTTATTTTTATGAAAAAATATATTGAAAAGCTTATTCAACCACTGTGCAATATGATATAACAATTCTCACGTGATTTCTTACGTCTTATGTCCTACGATTTTCAATGTATGTTATTGTTCATAGTTTTGTAATTTGTTTTCACCATCCGTAGTAATTATTGAAAATGTTAACTTGGCATGCCTTACTCAATAGAAAATACGGACGTGAAAGAAAGCACTTCATCAAAGCGTCAACATGAGATTACATTCCATGGAGGTTACATTTCGACGATTTCGTCTTTATAAAACAAAATTAATACGTGTATCTAAAAGGACATGTGTATTAAATTTAAATGTTGGCACGCATATCGATCTGCTGAATGTAGAATTTTACAGAGAAAAACTACTGCTCTATTTTTGTTTAAACTTTACATAGGATAGACCGGGCTAATTATTACAAATAGCGTGGAAATGAACTTTGAAATAATTTACAAATTCACAATATTTATTTCATCAATTTGTCTTTTTTTCTAATAAAAACAGTTATGAGGACGTATCTATCACATCTGTGTTTAAAACCCTCGCCGGGTCGGCGGTTAACGAAGCTTCGCTAAAAACAAAGACTTGCTATTCCATTTTCTTCTTTTTAGTTTGTAATAAATAAACAAAAAATATAATCATAGCATTTATTTCTATTCATAACGTTTATAGCAATTGTACCAGTTCTTGATACAGTTTTAAAATTCGTCACAGAATGTATCGTACCTCGGAAATGGCGGCGTTGAATCAGGATTTGCTTGTTAGCAAAAGTTAGATTTTCAATATGGCCACAGGCCTCGACCACGCTAAATATTGTTGCAAACTGAGTCAAAATGTCAAACAATCAAAATAAGAGTAAAATTACTTTTGTCGAGGCCTGTGGCCAATGCGAATTTTAACCAGTAAGTGTGAAATTCTTTAAGAATTTGGACATTTTGAGCGTTCGATTGTGGGTATTAGGTCACATTAATGACGTCACAAAAATATGATTTTATACTATAATAACAAATAACGATAAACATAGATATGTTTTAGTTATAAAGGATCCACCTTATTTCTCTTTTATTTTTTTCACCTCACAGGGCCAATATCGGCACTTCGTGGCCATACTCCTTTGTCATTTAAGGGCAATAACTCCTAAAAGAAGTCTTCTGACAATTTTGACGTAAATGGACAGTTGGTAGAGCTAAGATTTTCTCCATTCATAACGGTTTTCAAAATAATAGACAAAACTTGCATTTTACCTCTATGTTCTATTTTTAACCATGTCAGCCATGTTGCTTGGCAGGCGGGGTCATAGGACACATTTTTTAAATTAGATACCCTAAGGATGATTTAGGCCAAGTTTGGTTTAATTTGGCCCAGTAGTTTCAGAGGAGAAGATTTTTGTAAAAGTTAACAGATGACGGACGACAGACACCAAGTGATGAGAAAAGCTCACTTGGCCCAGGTGAGCTAAAAAAAGGTTTGTTGTTTTATGAATCTGCAATTACAAATCGAATCGTTGATGTACATTCCCACCACTATTCATACATGATCGTTATTTTATTTTTTAACGTCCTGTGGCAAATGTTCCATTGCTATTCAGTACAAATTCATCTGACAACAAATTTAATCCCTTTTAATTTGAAGTTTCATTAACAATTCGACAACTTAAGTTTTTGATCTATACGTTCATGTACAGTGTAGATGACTAGAAATCATCATGCTTGAAAAATATACTACAGTCATGGTATTTCTTATATACCAAATGGGTAGTATGGTATTATCTTTTTCCGTTTCTTATATGAAAGAGTAGTTCATATACCACGTCAATTATGATTCTATGAAGATGTTCTATTACCACAGTAATTTACCTTTGTCGGACTATTGGGGTGTCAGACTAATAGGGTGTCGGACCAATGGGGCGTCGGACTAATGGAATGTCGGACCAATGGGGTGTATCACTAGTGTGGTGTCGAAATATAGGGGCGACCGAGAATTGAACAATATAACTAGAGGCTCTCAAGAGCCTGTGTCGTTCACCTGTATCTACTGGTTTTGGAAATCATGTAAAGTAAGGTTAAAATCATAATAAATAGCATTAGATTCCCCAATAATGATTGAGACCAAGTTTGGTTTAATTTGGCCCAGTAGTTAAATTAAAAGCAGGTCATTCCATTGTAGTCTTACAATAGTTACTGAAGACACCTTAGCATTATTTAAATTAGTTTTCAAGTTGTGGTCATTTGAAATTGTTTTTTTACAATTTCCCCTAAGACTTCTATAGAAAACCCATATGTTCTATTTTTAGCCATGGTGGCCATGTTGGTTGGATGGCAGGGTCATCGGATACATTTTAAATCAAGATACCCTATTGAAAATTGTGGCTAAGTTTAATTCTATTTGGCCCAGTAGAGAAGATTTTTGTAAGAGATTGCAAAAATTTAAGAAAAAATTGTTAAAAATTGAATATAAAGGGCAATAACTCCTTAAGGGGTCAATTGACAATTTTGGTCATATAGACTTATTCGTAGATCGTACTTTACTGAACATTATTGCTGTTTACAGTTTATCTTTATCTATAATTATATTTAAGATAATAACCAAAAACTAAAAAATTCTCTTAAAATTACCAATTCAGGGGCAGCAAACCAACAACGGATTGTCCGATCTGTCTGAATATTTCAGAACAGATAAATCTTAACCCGATGAACATTTTTACCCAGATTTGCTCTTAATGCTTTAGTTTCAGAGATATAAGCCAAAAACTGCATTTTACCCCTATGTTCTATTTTTAGCCATGTCGGCCATGTTGTTTGGCAGGTAGGGTCATCAGACACATTTTTTTAAACTAGATACCCTAAGGATGAGTGTGGCCAAGTTTGGTTAAATTTGTCTCATTTATTCCAGAGGAGAAGATTTTTGTAAAGAAATAAAAAAAATTACATTAAAAATTTAATATAAAGGGCAATACCTCCTTAAGGGTTCAAATGACAATTTTGGTCATGTTGACTTATTTGTAGATCTTTCTTTGCTGAACATTATATCTGTTTACAGTTTATCTCTATCTATAATAATATTCAAGATAATAACCAACCAGATGCTCCGCAGGGCGCAGCTTGATACGACCGCAGAGGTCGAACCCTGAACAGTTGGGGCAAGTATGGACTCAACATTCAAGCTTGATACAGCTCTGAATTTGGATTGTGATTAAAAAGTTGACACAGAATAGGTTTCTGACACAGAATGAATGTGGTCTAAGAACTTAAAAAATTTAAATTGGACATTCACCTATTATGGTCCAATATCCAAAATCTAAATACATTGTTAGATTCAGCATATCAAAGAACCCCAAGAATTCAATTTTTGATGAAATCAAACAAAGTTTAATTTTGGACCCTTTTGGCCCCTAATTCCTAAACTGTTGGGACCAAAACTTCCAAAATCAATCCAAACCTTCCTTTTGTGGTCATAAACCTTGTGTTTAAATTTCGTAGATTTCTATTTACTTATACTAAAGTTATTGTGCGAAAACTAATTGCAAGATAAACGCTTATTTGTGCCCCTTTTTGGCCCCTTATTCCTAAACTGTTGGGACCAAAACCCCCAAAATCAATCCCAACCTTCCTTTTGTGGTTATAAACCTTGTGTTAAAATTTTATTGATTTCTATACTAAAGTTATTATCCAGAAATCATCCGTCTTCCGATGACGCTGACAACGACGACGACGACTTGATACCAATATACGACCAAAAATTTTTAATTTTTGCGGTCGTATAAAAACTGCAAAATTTCCTTAAAATTACTAATTCCGGGGCAGCAACCAAACAACAGGTCGTCTGATTTGTCAGGGCAGATAGATCTAAACCTGATGAACATTTTTACCCCATGTCAGAATGTCAGATTTACTCTAAATGCTTTAGTTTCAGAGATATAAACCAAAAGCTGCATTTTACCCCCTACGTTCTATTTTTAGCCATGGCGGCCATCAGGATGGTAGGCAGGGTCGTCGGACACATTTTTTTCACTAAAAACCTCAATAATGATTGTGGCCAAGTTTGGTTAAATTTGACCCAGTAGTTTCAGAGGAGAAGATTTTTGTAAAAGTTAACAGACAACAACGGACGACGGATGCCACGTGATGAAAAAGCTCACTTGGCCCATAGGGCTTGGTGAGCTAAAAATGAAAATGAAATAAATAGGATACATAAGGCCATTTATATCATATAAAAACCTAGAACATTGTAAGCGTTGTGAGCAAACGAGCACTTCTCTTTCAAGTCTCACCACTTCTCCCTATCAGTTTCAAAAAGAGAAGTCACTTCTCCCTATGATTCTGAAGTAGTGTGAGCCCTGCTTAAACTCTTATTATTTTTCTAAAAACCCTAAACTTAAAAAAAAATATCAAAATTTGAGCTCCGTGCCATCTCTATGCATTTATCAATTGGTCACATGCTCGGAAACATGTCAAAATGTTGTTTAAAGGTGTGATGCTGTGGATGAAAGTAAAGATTGAGTGAATATAAAAAAAAATGGCCCAGGAGTGAAAACTCATGAAAGATACTAGTCCTATAGTTCAATACGCTAGATGTAAAGTACTTCAGGATAAATTGACCCACCCTCTTTCTTTAACAAACTGTTACTGCAGAATAGGCCAAATTCTAAGTTCAAAGGGGCATAACTCCTAGAAAAATTATTGAATCATCATTTCCTGTCAATATCAACATCTACATAGTATGTCCTGACTATCTACAAAGTTTCATGCAATTCTGTTGTGTAGTTTCATAGGAGTTGCGATGACAAGATCAGGACTGACATATGGACAGACAGGTCAAAAACATTATACCCTACACAACAAAGTTGCGTGGGGTATAAATATACAAACATCCATATTTTCATGCTGTGCAACGTTTCTAATAATTTGTTGTGTCTCATTATTTTAACTACTAAATTCATTCACCTGGACATGTGATGGGTAAGAGTAAACTGTTTCTATGGCATTGGCTATGTCCTGAGGATCCAGACCTTGTCTTGTACTGTAACATTGGTTAGCTGCAGCTTCTCCAACTGCAGTATAGGCAAAATTAGTCTTCACTAAGCCTGGACTGATACTCTGTAACAACGAATAAAATATGTTATATGGGACCTCTGGGTTGCCAACAAAACATGTTGATACATCAACAAAGGAGTAGACAATAACAGCATGGGGGAGTGTATATATTATATATTCTTACATTCATTCAAAATTCGTAATAGGACTGTTTTCAGTACTGTGAATTTCTCATCTAAGATACTCGATATGAACTCATGTATGAGTATATTGTGTTTATTTTTAAATGATGAATAAGTGTGAATAAATCACTATAATAAATTATAATGAATTCAAGGAGATGTGTAGGTGTTATTTTAATGAGAGAGCTATATAAAAATATAGTAAAACCATATTTATAAGACCAAAGTTGTGTAAATATTGCTTTGCTTACTGTTATTTTGATATGACTGTTTATTTCTCTTAGTTCCCATCTAATGCCTTCAGTTAATTCAGTCAATGCATGTTTAGTAGCTGAATAAAAATGTGCTTTGCCACAACAATGTCCTGATAAGCTTTAAATATATGAATGATAAAGTTTGCACATGTTTGTTAATGACATTCAACAGCATCTACATGATCTACTTAAAGCACCAATGCATCATAAAAGTTAGACCTAAACAATTTAGGTTTTATATTTTCATTGGCTTAGTTTTCAAAGAATTCTCTTTAAGCATCTTCAGCTTGTATTAAAAACTTATATTCTCCTGCTGTTATGTACCGATGTGAGATAAACACATGATATTTGCCACTGAACATTAACAAGAGGCTCTCAAGAGCTTGAATCGCTCACCTGTATTTCAGAGGAGAAGATTTTTAAATGTTAGCAAACTTGATGAACAAATTGTGTAAAATTGTCTTAAAAGGGCAATAACTCCTTAAGGGGTCAATTGACAATTTTGGTCATGTTAACTTTTTTGTAGATCTTACTTTGCTGAACATTATTGCTGCTTACAGTTTATATATATCTATAATAATATTCAAAATAATAACAAAAAACTGCAAAATTTTGTTAAAACTACCAATTAGGTGGCAGCAACCCAACAATGGATTGTTTGATTCGTCTGATAATTTCAGGGCCGATAGATCTTGACCAATTAAACAATTTTACCCCATGTCACATTTGCTCTAAAAGATTTAGTTTTTGAGATATAAGCCAAAAACTGCATTTGACCCCTATGTTCTATTTTTAGCCATGGCGGCCATGTTTGTCGATGGATCAAAACTTCTGATACAGTTTATAAACTAGATACCCTAAGGAACATTGAATTAAAGTTTGAAGGTATTTGGCCCAGTAGTTTCAGAGGAGAAGATTTTTGAAATAGTTTACGACGACAGACGACGACGACTGCCAAGTGATGGCATAAGCTCACATGGGGCCCTTCGGGCCCCGGTGAGCTAAAAACTTAATAAAATCTTGGTTTTCAATTAAAAAAAAATGCCCAGAGAAAAAATCTGCATCATATCATATAGTTATCCCGTATTATTAATGTTTATATGGATAATTACCCCTTAAATTATCTGTTCGTTAATAAAATAATACCTATATTAATCTATTTGTTTTAAAACTACACCTGCCATAAAGGTTTCACCTGTTGATATTAATTATATGACCATCATCAACTCTGTTGGCCCTCGTCATTTTCACTCTCTTGTACACAGACATACAGCCATCACATTCACCTAGAAAGACATAACTATAAATAACAATCTTTACTGTACAGATAGTACAGATAATTTAATCATTAATTTATATGCATTAATAAAAATGTGTTTTAATTAAAGAATGCTATAAAAATATTCGTAAAATGTTGATTTTTAACAATAAACTGTTATCACAGAGATTTGTCTCGCCTTTTTGTAATTTTGATAATGCAAATGTTGAAATTAAAATAGCAATACTTTAACATGTAAGTTATGCAAATATTCAAAGTCGATGAACCATGACTGAAGGTACATGGCTAAACAATCTCTATGGAATGAGATGTGCCAATGCTAATACAACAGCATACCAAATACCATTGACTTATTATAAGTCGTTCCTTTTAAACAAACCTAAACACAAACATTAACTTGTAAACTATATGTAAAAGTTTCAAAGTCAATGAACCATGATCAGGGGTGGGGCTATATAATCTCCATGGAAACGATACTTGCAAATGCTAATACATTTGCATACCAAATATCATTGACTTAACATTAGCAGTTCATCTTAAACTGATCTAATCACAAACTAATACATGTAAACTAAGCAAAAGTTTCAAAGTCAATAGACCATGACTGAGGGGGCAGGGCCAAATATTCTCCATGGAAATGAGATGTGCTAATGCTTATACAACTGAACACCAATCAACATTGGCCTACCACTAATGTTTCCCCTTGAACTGATCGACCTAATCACATACTAATACATGTTAACTTAGCAAAATTTTCAAAGTCTATAGACCATGACTTAGGGGCAGAGAGAAATAATCTCCATGGAAATGAGATATGCCAATGCTTATACAACTGCATACCAAATATCATTGACCTACCACTAGTGGTTCCCCATAAATTGATCTAATCACAAACTAATACATGTAAACTATGAAAAGTTTCAAAGTCAACAGACCTTGACTAAGGGGGCGGGGCCAAATAATCTCCATGGTAATAAGATGTGCCAATGCTAATACAACTGCATACCAAATATCATTGACCTACCACTAGTGGTTCACCATGAACTAGACCTAATCACAACAGACATGGGGTCAATTACTTTTGAAAGTAATTAATTACATTCAATTACAATTACAAAATCTTCAATTAAATTACACATTACATTTGACTTTTTTTGACAATGTAATTAATTACTTTCCAATTACTTGGCAAATGTAATTAATTACTTCAATTACTTTTGAAAGGAAAATTTAGAACATGCATTTATTCTATCATATGTACATAATTATCATACACTGATTTATAGTAATAACAAATGAGATCTACAGTGACTATTTTCAAATTCAGCCAGTATCAAAGAAGAGTAAAAGTTAAATATCTGTTGTGTTACGGGAATAAAGAAAAAACAAACATAAATCTGAAGTGCACATAATACTTTGTCTATCAGGAATCGTTAGGACTAGATGTATGGTTTAATTTAATGCGCAAAATGATAAAAAGCCTTATTCAATATTTGGAAAATATTAAATTTTGTTTAATTACCTATTGAAATTTTATGTTTTAATGTATTTCATTGAAAATGATGCAAGAAGAGAGCTCTATAGAAAAATTTTTATTTTTTTAATTTGATCACAACTTATTAAAATTATTTTTCCTAAAGAAATGATTTAGAAAGTCTGACTTTTTTAAAAATATGATGTAGTTTTAATCACAATTAATTAGTTCAAAAAAATCATGTACCTAGGGGTATATTTATCTCTCTCTAATTGGCTTAACACCTGTTTAACATGCAAACATAACTGTTGTAAAAACAGTCATTATATAGTTTATGATAAAACAAATAGCCAGAGGTTATATTTATTGATTGACTTATGACCTTTCAAATTGATTATGTTAAATCAATGCCCAACAATATCCATTAGAATATTGCAAAGTGCTCTCGACCAATGAAATTGTAGAATTGGATGCCTCTTGATTGTGAAGAATGAATGTAAATCATGTTCTTAGTAAGGGATTATCCTATTATTTGGGTCTATTTACAGTTCAAAACAAAGAGTTTCTATAAATGAGTTACAACTGCCCCGAAGCACATTTATCAGATTGAAAGGTTTTATCACACAGTGATTGAAACTGACTAAAAGTTGAATTGTGAAACAAACAAAAATCTCCAAATAAGTTGAAGTTTACTGGTGCAGTAAAATTGGTACCGTGAATTTTATTATGAAAATATTAATAACTTCAAATTACTATAAAATTAAACATTACCAAAGCAATGCAAAAAAAAAGAAAAAAAATCTTTCAGATAAAAAATAACCTAAATCTTTAGCTTTCCAAAACTTTGATTTCTTGATCAGCGGTTGGGGAGAATAGTTATTTCCAATACAATTATTCCGATAAAAAACAGGAATTAAATTTTAAACATATTAAAAACTTTTAAGGGCATTATTTTTGAGCATTTCCCTGACATAATGAAACAGTATTTGATGTAAAAAGCCGGACCAAATTATTGGCTGTGAAATAAAATTTAGTTGTAACTCTAATGTATTAATTGATTTAAACTGTAAATAAAACAGGATAATTCCTCACTAAAATATTACATGATTTACATTCATACTCACAATCAGGAAACATACAATTCATACCTTTTCTTTCTACGGTTGTGTCACCTAATATCTATAACGCATTTTTTTTTTTAAATATTTCCCAAATGATAAGAAAGTCCTCACATCACTAAAACTTATCCATAAATGACATGCCGAAAAAGGAAGTCATGCATCAATTATAAACATTGCACTGACAATGAAACTAATTCTTGAATAGATCATTTGAGCCTTGAGCACTTTACAATATTCTAAGTTTGTAAGAGAATGATAATCCCTTACTTCATGATAAGTACTCGCTAACGCTCGTACTTATTCATGAAGAAAGGGATTATCATTCTCTTACATATACTCTGAATATACATGTAGGTAACAAGCTAATTAAGGTATAAGACAGTGACCTACTAATTGTTTCTTTTAAACACAAATTATGGCATGTTTCTACAATATTTTTTTTTTCTTTTTAATTTTTTGTTCATTCATTACAAAATAAAAAATCTTCCATGGTTGTGTAATTACAGAAGGTATACTGTGTAGGATTTGATTTGTCAGCTAACTTTTGCTAAGGTCATAGATTTTCATAATTTTTTGAGAAAACACAAGATTCAATCTTTCTGAGCCCAAATTTCAAATGTAATTGAGTTGTAATTGAAAAGTAATTGTCAATTAGACAATTTTGGCTTTGTAATTCATTACTTTCAATTACTTGTAATTGAAAAAATGATCAATTACACATTACATTCAATTACTTGAGAAATTGTAATTAATTACAGCCAATTACAATTACATATTTCAATTACCCCATGTCTGAATCACAAACTAATACATTGTTGACGCCAAATACCAAATATCATTGACCTACCACTAGTGGTTCACCATGAACTAGACCTAATCACAAACTAATACATTGTTGACGCCACCGCCGCCGGAAACAGCAAACCTAGGTCTCGCTTTTTGACTCCGTGATTTCAGATTATTTCTGTAAATAGTCAGTGGTAAGATATTTTAGATCGACAATCGAATAATGAGGGTGGTAGGAAGGGGACCGATCCCGAAATCCCAAATTGAAAGACACAAAATCCTGTAGTCCCGAATTAGAAAACACGAAATCCCGTTATAAAGCTAGGTCCTCAGTAACCATACCTCAATAATATCAAAATTGGATTACGGGGTGTTCTTTCAAATTTTAAGAACGAATAAAGTTGGATAAAACGGGGAAATGAATTAATACTCAGACAGGACTGCTCCTGTGCGGTGCCCCAGTACATGATTTGTCAGTCTATTTATAGTTTTTGGGCATCATAGTCATTTCGTACCATAACCATTTTATACCACCCATTTCATACCATATGTGAGATTAAAATGTATACCATTTTATACCATATGGAAGATTATAATGTTTATCATTTTGTACCATTGTATGCTATTTTTACATGTATGTGTATTTATTATTCAGTACTGAAGGTATAAGTTTTCTATGTTTAATTGCCTACCATTTGATAGAATGTGCGTACAGGAAATTGCTTAATTGGAACATGAACACACAATTACTCATGTTTAATTTCTTGCAATCATCTTCAATAGTGGGTTTTGTTTGATAGATAAATGATATAGATGCAGATTCAATATTTTATTAGAATCTCACCACATGTATAACATAAACATTAACATACATATATAAAACTGACAATAAAACAACATAAGCTGAAGAAATAGACATGTACAAATACCATTCTCAAAATTATTATTATATACAGTATATTTAATATTTTATACATTTCATTATATAAATACAAACATTTCGTCACTAGACAATTCATCAAAACACTAGATATATATATAACATAAAACATTTATTAAAACAAACAGAGTCAGTATAAGGGTCCATACTAATATTCCCATTTAAAACTGAATAATTTAATTTTGGATGTAACACGTCTTCTGATTGGCTGAAGGTGTTTTGTCTATCAGCTCATAGACATAATTTTGTCATGTGACCGTGACGTCACCAACGTTTTTTTTCAAAATTTACTCTTTAAAAATGGAATTTAGAATTAAATTATAAGGAATGACTGTAATATCTTTTCTGTCTATTCGCAATAACCTAAAAAATGTGCACCACATTTTTTATGTTATTTCTTCATAAACAGAAAAAATATGTGAGATTAAGATGTATACCATTTCGTACCATATGGAAAATTATGATGTTTATCATTTCGTACCATTGTATGCTATTTTTATATGTGTATTTATTATTCAGTAATGAAGGTAAATTTTACAGTCATTCCTTAAATATTTTTCATGTACCAAGTATGATATGGTAAAGTTCAATTTTCCTAGGGAGCGTCTTTTTACCACAGAACACCACAGAATACCACAGAACACTAAAAATATACCACAGAACTCCGAAATAGTAACAATTCAGACATTATAGTTGTTGTTATTGCTAATTATGTCTATAATATAACTTTTATTATTCAAATAAATTAAAATTTTCAATCTAGTGTCGACTCACTATCATTACGCCCCCAATTGACTTGGCCTTTAATTGGGTCCATACTAAAAATGAATGTAAGACCAATCATCGAGAAAACCAAAGAATTTTACCACTATAATGTTTTAAATAACCTATAAATTATAGATTACATGTATTTGTATTTAATTGTTGAAAATTGAAATTCGAAGACTGATTTCCGTTTGTGTGTGTGTGTATCTTCCTCAAATTTCAAGTGTAAAATTCAAGAAACAAGTGTAGATAAACTTTGTCTGTGGTCAAATTTCAATAATAAGAGAGATAATATTTAAGTGGAAAATTTTAATTTGATAACATCAATAACAAAACAATTCAATAAATACATGGTTAAGGTGATTAATGTCTTTTTTCGGCTCTTTCTGTTCTTGGTCTCTTTCTCTGCATAGGTTTTCCTGGCTATTGACTTAGCCTTGTTGACAACAGAATAAAGTCCATCTAAGGAAGTTATGATATTATCATGTTTTCTTTTCTTACTGTCCTGTAGGAAATAAGTGAAGAGCTTTCGTTTTTTCTCATCTGATTTGGTTTTCCAGATGGCATCAGCTATAGTATACTGTTAGTATGAATGAACAAGCATGTAGTCCCCAGAATGATGAAGGGCCGACCAAAGATTAATGAACTGAAGTCCACCATGTCAAATAGTTTATCAACCAAATCTGGGGCATGTTGGGGCTTCCAGTTGACTGCAACTTTCATCACCCGATTCATGGATTCTGCATTGTTGTTCATCCACAATTGTTTGGTGCCCAAACGTCTATTAGGTGCATTACTGAATTCTTGAACTCTAGGCTTAAAACTTTGTTCGTAATACTTCAGGAACTGAGGATAATTTGCGCTTAAGTCCTTGAGTTCTGAATCTGCCCTTGCAAATTGCAATGTGTCGTCTGCACTTGCAATTCCGTTATCTCCAAAGATTGTGTTGATGATGTTTTTCTTTCTTGGGTGCTGACACCAACACGATTTTGAAGGTAATGTTGTACATTGTCTTTTAAATGTTTCGTACACAATCTTCGTTTGGCGGTTGGGAATGCCTTTTCTATCGCCTTGGTCATCGCCTTTTCATCATCACTGCCGAACTTTATATTTTCATGGAGACGAAGTTCTACATTAATGGCTAGTTCCAGTGTGGCAGAAATGTGTGAAAGGAAGGCTCGGTATGTTGTGTATGACATATCCTTGTGTAGAAGCATTGGTCCTGCAAAGATTGGACGGTCTTTGGTTTCTTTTCTATTTACCCTACCCGCAGGTTCTTGTAAACAATGGATGTGACATAAAAGCTTCCGAGATTGAATGTTCTGTCAACCCCCAGAGGATGCTCTAACGTTTGTGCTAGGACATGTCTCAAATCTGTTATTTGGTTTTCTGTGTAACACACTATTGCTATAATAATGAGTAATACATCAACTTGATGAATTTTACAAACTAAGGTCCTTTTAAGGACCATCAATATTTTTCAAAAAGATCTATCATTGTTGTTCACTTAATTACCCTATTTTCATTTTCACCATTAATTATTTAGTACCAAAATTAAAAAGGACAAGAATAGGTAATTAATAGGTAATTAATTTCCGAAAGGTTTTGCCAATGATATAAGATTGATAGTAAATTATGTACATAAAAAACAAATATAGCTTGACACGTGTCGGTGATAAATATGTTCAATGTGTTAATCCATCACTTATCATGAATAATCGACATTAAAAATAAAGTAGTATGCTACCCCTACACATATTGAATTAACAAAATTAGACACACGTCAGTGATATATAGAAAACAAATTCAATGTCAAAAATTTAAAATATAAAATTATCAAATTGTAAATTTCATAAATATATTATATTCCGTAACTTAATAAGAAAGATGAATTAACAAAGCTTGATGTGAAATGACTTCTTTTGAGACATTGCTAATAAAACAAAAAGTTATGTAGGACTTCTTTGAAATTTCCGTTTCTTTTGACAGCGTGATTGAGTTATATAAGCCATCTGTTCTTTTCAATTTTTAACATAGACCTCATTAGTGGGTTTTTTTTTTTTAATTAATCTTAATAATGACCATAATATAGATGCATTTCAAATAAAATTTAAATGTATTCATAATAAGTAATCAGTCCAAGTCCTCAATCTCTTTCCGTTGGTTAGATTTTGATATTTGTCTCTAAATGTCTTATTTTTGGTACAACTATTTTATATAAGAAGAAGAAAATGAATAAAATATATATGGGGTGTCGACTCAGGGTGTCAATGACGGTGGTTTGCGGAGTTGTCATGTTATGGACTTTCCTTTTCTGTTCGGCGTAATCAATGTAGATATATTTGATATTTTAATCTTTTATTTAATATGATTTGTTGAATTAATAACTGAAATAATATATTTAGGTCACAATTAATACGATAAAACAAAAACAAACAAAAAATTTGCGCTGTTGGGCGATGTGCGGTTTGCGATCGGTGATTAATAGATTTACCGTCTAATTAATATTAGTTCATGCATTTTGTAAAGTTATTTTAATGTTATGTTGCATATTCAAATTGTTTTGTTGTTTGTTTTTATGTTCTGTGGTATATTTTGAGTGTTCTGTGGTATTCTGTGGTGTTCTGTGGTAAAAAGACGCTCCGAATTTCCTATGGTACAAAATGATACAGCATTTTTCCCATATGGTACGAAATGGTAAAGCATTTTTCCCATATGGTACGAAATGGTAAAGCATTTTTCCCATATGGTACGAAATGGTATTTTTTTCCATATTGTACGAAATGGTTTATGTTCATGGTACGAAATGGCAAATGCATGGTACAAAATGGGTAATTTTGGGTTCGAAATGGCAATGGTACGAAATGGTTATGATATAAAATGACTAGATACCAAACTCTTAACACCTGTAGTGATCACAAATCACATCCATTAGCAGTCAGGGGACTTATTGAAATAAGTGATTTTTAAATCACTTATTTAAGTAGCAAATTCGAAGTTTTGTCACAAATTGTGATTTTGTAGTTTTACCAAAATTTTAAACACATAGGTTTAGATAATATCTTTTCATTTGTAAAATTGAAAAAAATGAACTTTTTGCTTCTTTTAAGCAGCAAGGTTTATGCCTTTGATGCAATCATTTAGCTGCAAATTCTATTTTAGTTGAAAAAATGCTATAAAAATGGCTTTACATAATGAACTGATACTTTCTTAATAGATTTTTCCCAGCAGTGGGAGTATTTTTCCTGTAAAATTCAAGGTTTCATCTTATAGATTATGTAATAAAATTCTACTGTTCGCGATCAAAATTTCACTGTTCGGGGGTGTTGAAATTAGTGGGGTTATTAAAATAATGATACTTAAAGCAGTGATTTTTTGGAAGGAAATTGAGGTATGATACTTAAACAAGTGATTTTTATGTCATTATCCTAGATTTAGTACAAGGTCATCACCTGACATGACCCGGTCATCCTATCAACACAGATGTTGGTTCTGATAATTTTAGCAACATAATTAGTCCCTGGATCATTAGTATTCTATATTTAAAGCTACAATAAAATTAAATCACTTAGTCTAGTGATTAATTTGTACTGCTTAAATAGGTGATTATTAAAGAAAGGCAACTCTTACTTCCAACCTTTATGGACATATAATGTTACTTGAATCAGTGATTTAGAAAATCACTCATTTAAGTAAGTCCCCTGACTGATTAGTTTACTAGAATTATTCCTTCCTCGCCTTCAGTATCGCTTTTCCTTTTCCTGCAAGAGCCTGTATTTTACCAGAGATCCATGATGATTAAGGATTACTAGGTTAAATTTTTTTTATGTAATCGAGAAACATCAAGCGGTGACTTAGCTGCGGAACCGTAGCTCTTAGGTCCTTATGCTATTTTTTGACTATTTGCGGACCATCCGCAAATAGTCAAAAAATAACATGAGGACCTAAGAGCTACGGTTCCGCAGCTAGCGGTGACTGAGATGCTGAGTTATATCCGGGAAGAATGATGTCAAGTTATAGAAATTAAGGTTGAGACAGAAAAAACAAATGACTATATTTCAATGGTAGTTACGGCCTTGGCGTTTGTATTTGATTATCATTTTAGTTTATGGCCGCAGTTGTTTTGTTCATTTTTAAATTTAAAAATATACAAAATGAAATCATAGAGGTTTATGTAAGGAAATGTCTACGTTTCTAATGTCCAGCTATGAACTGGAGAACTGAGTATAACAGTATAATAGACGATTTGTAAAAGGAGAGATTCTTATATACAATATACGGTGTGTATGCCAAAGTACTTCAAAGATAATCAAGACCACATTTTTTTGCAATTTTTGACAACAAATGTCGTACTAGTCGCAGTTCTTTTCGGTAATTGTCGAGCTCTAACAGAAAAGTTGTATTTTGTGAGAAAGTAATGGAATGGAATCATTTCTATTACATCTGAATACTTCAAAAGATTTAAAAAAAAACCAAAACGTTACATTAAAAGGACAACCTTTTCACGCCTCATCGTGTAATTTATCGGTAGCTATCTTGTTTTGTTTTACTTTATTAAATAATTCCTTTAACGAGATTGATCTGTGGACCAATTTATATAAAGCGTTTATATTTGATTACCCCTTTCGTTTATGACCGTAGTTGTTTTGTGCATTTTTAAATTTAAATAGGTACAAAATGAAATCATAGATGTTTCTCTGAGGGGTTACACTAATGACTGGACCGAATGACAGGACCGAATGACAAGACCAAATGAAAAATGCTTATAACTTTTTCATTTCTCAAAGGATTTATCTCAAATTTGAAATAATATGAGGAAGGCGCTACCTTGAATGCCAGCTTACCAAAACTATGTCCTACATATTGATTGATTGTTGGTTTGCTGAAAGCCCAGTGGCAAATATTTCATGCATGTTCAGGACGAATGTCCTACATATAGTTTTTGTCTAAAATAAAATAAGTTTAGATGGAAAATGTTTAGGGAAAGATCATTGAACTTCAAAAGGCAGAAGGAGGTATGGTATTTTTTTTTTTTTTGGTGTGTCGCAGGAAGCATCAAAGCAAAAAATTAAAATAGCCTTCCTGGACGTCATAATTATTTGGACTAGTATTTTTCTTTAAAAATTGATGACAAAAAATACTCTGTTCAAGCAGAGGACAAAAAAAAAATATTCTGAATCCAGATTTTCCCCATACCTTCTAGTGTTATATTTTGACTAAATAATGTTGATTGATAGCATTGAAGTGCTTCACGTGTAAAAAATCTGACTCAAACAAAAAACCATACCCCCCTTTGAAGCTAAATGGTTGCTCCCTTATTGTTTTCTGCTGAAAATGAATTTATTGGTGATTTATATAAATGACAATGCTTACATTCATTATCTTGTGCATTTTCATATCCATTTTTCTTTCTTTGCAAATTTTATAAAATTTAAAACAATTAGACATTTGTTTAATTTCAAAACTATGAATACTGTACAGTTATACAATCCATAACTTTATTAAATTAATTTTTTGTTGATTTTCATGAAAAGGTGGAGGATTTGGAATATCTTTTTCATCAAATATCATTATCTAAAAGTTGTAGCGGTTTTTTTTTATTTAGTATTGCAAACAACGCTTTCTGTTTGTTGAATTATTTTTACTTTCTAAATTAGCTGGTTGTTCATATTGTATTCCCAGTTTCCTGCATCTCATATATATGTGATCAGCAAGAGGATCATTCTGATTGTTAAAAGAAGAGTTTTAATTTACAGTGAGCCTGCTTAGAATAATGTTTTGATAAGGTTTTTCATTTTCATCTAAGCATATAAGGAACCATAAATAGGATTGTTAAGTTGATAATCTAAAGATTTTGCTATTTTCTAGGATGCTATTTAAAATTTGAGGGGAGAACACTGCTCAGCAGTATAAATGCATTCCTGATCATCTTCTTTTTGTGGGTTTCTACATCAATTTCATGTACTAATTCAGAGTCGGTTTTATGTCATTTCTTGCATAATTTGTTTTATTAGCTTACTTTTCAAGTTTTTATACGACGGCAATATAAAATTGAGAATCGAAATGGGGAATATGTCAAAAATTTGCTTTCGAGTAATGCTATCATGTCGCTGTTGCTGCCCGAAGACACATTTGATTTCCGGACAATAACTTTAAGTAAATCGATCTCTATGCCAATGTATGAAATTGTACCAGAAGGTTCAATACACAAAAGGAAGGTTAGAATTGATTTTGGGGGTTATGGTACCAACAGTTTAGGAGTCAGTGGTGAAAAACAACATTTTTGGGTTGTTTTTTTTCCATAATTTTGGGGTTTTTTCTCCAAAAATTTACCATTTTTACATTGATTATTTCTCATTTATATATAAATGCAACTCATACTGATATGGCAGGTGATACACACGAAACAGTGTGTGTAAATCATTTTATCGGTAATTTGTGCATTTTTCCTTTGATGTGTACTCCTTGTCCTTGATAATGTCGACGTCATTATCAGTGGACTGGTCATGATAAAGAAAATATATTGGGTTAGTTCGCAATTGACATGCACAAGTGCACCGCAAAAGGATCTTCTTTCCCTTTAATTCACAAAATTGCACATGATTTTTTTCACAGAAACGCACACGTTATTTCATGAATGAAACACTTGTCATTGTTTGAAAATTTTCAGTAATCAGCTGGTAATAAAACTTTAGTTTAGCCTTTTTGAACGATTCACTGATTGTGTGAAAATTTGAACAGAAAATGTACGAGAAACCTGATAAAATTGCGGAATTATTGATAGCTTTCCTTACTATCCACAAGGACATATCGCTAACATATCGTCCATGCTATTCTGATTTGACGCACGGTTTTTATTCCTACATAGTCTGGCATGGCTGGTGCTGTTCCAAGTTGTCTTCTTTTGCTGCATGTTTCTTGAGAAGTATTTGTTTGACCTGGTCAGTCACTATAAAGTGTTACAATTCATATTAAGACGCAACACATAAATAGTGACCAAAAAGGTACCGCTTTCACATGCATGACATGAGAGAATCTAGAAAAAAAATTAAATGTACACATTTTCAACATTTTTGTGGGACTATCATATAAAATTAAGGAGATATGTAGTTGGAGACTGCTGCTGAAAAGAAATGTTTGGGCTCACCTGATACCTGTTTTCAAATAAGTCCATATTAAAGTTTGAAGGGTCCAAAATTAAAATATGTCTGATTTCAACTGACATAAAATTTTTGGTGTTTTTTATATGCTAAATCTACATCTGTGGTTGTATCAGGCTGTGCTTGGCGAAGCATTTTATTGCTGTTTTGTTTGTACTTTATTTTATTTTGGTAATGAAAATTAACTTGTAGTTGTGAAGTTGCTAACATTTTTAAAAGATGATAATTAGATAACTTCGCATGGTGACGACACTGATGTTTTCGTAGATTTACTTTTTCCCAGGAATGCTTCATCTGTTGATACATGAATATTCTCACTGTGAACGATTTGTGTCTCAAAAAAAACTTGTAAGATTTCTGCAGTTATTTTTGTTGAATACATACATACACATAGGGTGAAAATTGGGTACTTGGTGCAATTTGAGTACTGTGACGTTATAGCCATAATTGTTTATTGCTATAATAGGTTGAAATGTGCACCTGATAAAAGTATTCGGTAAAGTGAAAATGTTTTAATCAGGTTTAAACTGACGCATAAAATATACTGGTGACTGCGGGAGGCAAATATTTATATTGCCTCCAAATAATGTGTCTGCAGCTTTAATTTCAAAGGATGTATGTAGCCCACATACTTCCAAGTAACATGCTCTATACCTATCAAAAGTCATGGTATTATCATGGGTTATCATAACTCCATTGTAATTCCCATAAAATCCAATTTTGGACAATATGGGAGCATACAATATATACCTAAATGTATCACTCAGACTCAAGTCTCCTTTTACTATGATTAAACTTAGAGAGTGAAAACAAAACAGTCTCCATCTCCTGGGACTGTTTAAGGTAGATATGTGTCATAATTAATGACAAGATTTGTTGAGAGTCTGTCAAAGGAAGTACAGTGACAGTCTACAAAATTAGAAGATTGTGAATTTGAATATATATATTTTTTTTTAAACTTTTGTTAAGTTTTGAATTACACCTGCATTTATCTGTTAGCTAGGAATAACAGTGACCACATTCCACAGTATAACCAACTTCATTATCACTGTAACTGATATGGGAAATTCTGTAGCAGATTTTACTACCTTCACCTCCGCCTCCGGCTACGTTTCTCCCAAAATTTATTGCTTGCAGAGGGTCTTTCTGTGTTCCCATGGCTGGACGGAACTTTTACACTCAAATGTTATCATTAATTATGATATTGTGACTTTTAAATGAAGTACCTGTGGTAATTTAGGAGATTTGTCACTGATAATGGAAAGATGAAGCAGACGACGAAACATGGCGTAAGATATTGTTGTCCAAACTTCGGTTATTTCCGTGGTACAATAAAATTTAAATAAACTGCACAAGTTACTAAAATTTCTAAATTCTTGTTTTTGTAAACATGTCACATTTAACATCGAATTTATTCCGTTTTGTCCCGTTTTTTCAAGATCCCGATTAAACGAGAATCTGGCAGCCATTAAAAATATAAGGGTTAAACTAATGTCCTGAAATTGTCCTTACGGATATTCCAATGCTAATTTCGTTTTCATTATTTGAAGAATTGACCTTATATTTGGAGCCAAGCAAGAATACAATGTTTATTTAATAAATAAAATGAAAAAATAGAAAACAAATATTTTTAAGAGTTAGATACCTTGACTTGATCTACTTCGAAAATTAAAAAAAAAAAGTTATCGTTCTTTATTCCAATTCGATGCTTCTACCATAAGTGCCAGCTAAAGCTGGCATATAATAAGATTTCATCATTTTATATATAGATTAAAGAAAAAAAAAATTTATTAGAAGCTTTTGAAAACGTGACCTGATCAACGCTGATAATGACAGGACCAACCTCGACAATGACAGGACCAAATAAAAATGCTAATAACTTTTTTAGTTTTCAAAGGAATTATCTCAGATTTGAAATATAGAATAAGATGTCATCCTATAACATGTATAATACATAAATTTTATACAAATTATAGATTTTTTTTTCAAAAACTTGCGAAAACGTGACATGACCATCGGAATCCATGACAAATCGCCCCACTGGCAAATCGCCCCTCACATAATCGCCCCACTTTTTCACAAACTCGCCCCACTTTCTTAAAAATCGCCCCACTTTTGTTTACCAACTCGCCCCACTTATGAAAAGGATAAAATTCCATTGAAAATAGGTTAGATATATTGCTCCATTTATGAAAAGGGAAAAAAGTCCCTCTGATATAAGGTCTGCCAACTCGCCCCACTTG